AGTCATTTATACAAAAGAGTTTATTAATAACAATAAAAAACGGTTCTTTCACACTAAGCACCTCTCTCCTTCAAAACAACTAATGGAATAATTACAACACAGGAGTATTTTGTAAAACAAAGTAAATGTTTCACTTAAGTTACATCTCCCCCTTGTGGCTCTGAGTTATAATGCAACTGTAGATTCTGACTGAATTTAACTGGAGTGTAGTCGGATCACAGGTTCATACACCTGCAGGCAACACACTCTTTTCATTTCAGTAAGTCCTCTCATGTCTGTTCGGCAGATTTCATGGATTCATATTCCACCCGCTCACAGAGTCACGCGATGTGATGGATGTTTGTGGATCAAATTGCGTCATGAACAGGTGGGTGATTCTTGCACCAGCGTTAGGAATCTTCTGGGTTTGTGTTGCTGACTGACCTGATACGATGGAGGGTGTGACCCAGCATATATTGTTTTATTAGTGGATGAGTTGTTTAATCAGTTATGATGAGCTCATCACAGCCCCAGTCCTCATAACTCCCATCAGGAAGGTACCTGCGGATGATGATGGGGATCTTTCTGCTCCTGTTGGAGGGGATTAAACAAAATTCACGGTAAGACATTGGGCAGTACAGAGAAGCTCTGCATCACAGAATGTTGACATCTTTGCTGTCATGATATAATCTTTTAAAATATTACTGATAACTTAAACCATACAATTATCACTTACTTGAGCTCTTTCATAGCTATTTGCAAGGGGTCTGTTTCTCCTTCCAGCTCCACCATGACTGGAGCACACATCCTATGGGAAACAAGTCAGCAGATGGCACAGTCACTACAAAATTGGCATCTAAATAATCAAATTGCCTACCAAAATCCAAACTCTCCCATAATACATTTAGGGCTCCTACTTGTTACATTTAAAAAGGTATTGACCAGTGCGACCCAGACAAATCACCTAGCTCCTACAAATTACAAAAGTGGCTGTCAATGTGCTGCTATACAAATAAAGCTAGATTAATAAAGAGTTTTATTTAAATCCATTGTTTCTGCACTTACTGGTCATCTAACAGAGGGAAACCTCATTGTTTCCTTTTCATTACCTTTGTCATAGTTTTGAAGTCTATTCTTTCCTTTCTGTTTAGTCTGAATATCTCAGCATCAATGTACATCTATATACACAAGACATTTTAGAGAAACAATAATAGTATGTGAATAAGAAGACTAACTGGGGGGAAATAAATCATTTCTTTCAGGTGTACTTAGACTGACAATTCCAAACAGTAGCAGGCAAAAATGCAGGCAGAGGAAAAAGTGTTGCGATTGACCGGCTTCTGTCCTGACAATAAGCACATTAACCTCCTTAATGTATGGCAAAACAGAACAACCACGGAAAGAGCTCTTCTAATTTTGAACCTCCTTGTCTCCTTTCTCCTCCGTCCTCCTGCCTGTGACACAGAAATTGATCTCAGTGCACCATCTCGAAGGATGTCTCAATTCCTTCAATGCATCTCGAGGAGAAAGGAGGCTTGCCGAAGGAAGTCTTTTTGGCAAGCGTGATGTGTAAAAGAGGTGTGACACATAGCTGATGATTCAGCTGAGTCACACGTCATATTTAAATAACATTTGAGGTGGGAGGAATAAGACGCCAGGAAAAAAGGCGAGGAAGGGAAATCCAGGATGTACAAACTGAGAAATAAGAAGAGTAGAGGAAAAGAGTGTAAAATAGATTTTCCCAAACCAACCCCTACACCCTCTCCCTACCCACTTTCACTTCATTTCCGCATTCACTTGGAGGGTCAGCCATATTAAGTGCCATCCAAAACCAACTACTGAGGAGAGGAGGTGAGATACAAAACCCTCCAAAAGCAAGTCTGCATCGATGCCGACTAACTGACCACCGTAGTGTGACACCGTATTGAGTTCGACATGAAAGACGCTCCGTACAAACAAAGCTCTGCAACTACCCTTATAAATATAAACTGTTCATACTAAGATATACATTTATGGGCCAACTGTCACACAGATGCTAACATCTTAAAGGTTTCATTGTATTTTGGATAAAATATATATTTTCTAGTCTCTAATAAACAGTTGTGTTCATTTGATTGTAGTGATGTATATTTACAACAACTGTTTATGAACCAAGCAACTTAAAAATGTCAGAGTTCAAAACCAAAAGAAAATGGTTATGAAAAGTTACGACAGTTTCTCTTTCAGCTGCAAAGAGGAAAATTTGTCCCAAAGCTTGCCACTGTGTCTGTACCCTACACCTTGACGTAGGAAACTTCAGTCAGCTGTGAAGGTGATTACAAACAGAGTTACACTCCACTATGGAGTGGGAGTGGGTAGGGTCTCGTTTTAGAAAGCCCCAGAGTGTGTGTGAGTGTGAGGTCAAAAGCGAGATCTGAACCCAGGACACTGTAGTCATACCACATGGACTTAAGTCATGTAGGTCAACACATAAAAAAACACTCACGCTATCTGGAGAGCTCGTGTCCCAAGCACTCTGGCTCTCTCATATTTAGTCATGTAAGGTGTTGTGATCCTCTTCTGGTTGGCCTGCTGGCCCTCTCCTGCGGGCAGGATCTGCACGTTCTCCTGGTCCTCCTGCACATAAGAGCAAAACCTTTAGGGTATCCAAAACATAAAAGTTGGACTCAGCAAATAGGGACCAACTTTTATTATCACAGAGCAGCGGCGAAGAAAAAATACATTAGAAAGCAAATGTCTTGATAGCTTATCCTTAGAGTAAATGTTAGATGCTAAATGAGAGTTTGAGAAGACAACGGCGAACTTACATCTTCCACGTTTTCCAGGTCATCTAATCCTTCATCCTCTTCGGCATCATCAAAATCTCCGTCGTCGAAGCTACAATTTAACATCAAAGCAGTTATCACAAAGACCACAGCTTCATAATAAATTCACAATGAATACTTCTACTAGCTAGCAGGCTAAACGTTCGTTAGCTACGACGTTAGCCCACGTTGTGTTGTATTAAAATAAATACGCAGTTAAACACAGAATGTTGACGCCGTGTGTCGTTACTTACTTATCTTCGTTGTCGGACATGTTTTAATTTGAAGCTTGTCTATGTAAATCCTTAAATTATAAATGCTCAGCGACAGTTTCTGTTGTCAACATGAACCCACATGAACGCAAACAGCTTTCAACTTCCGGTAGCCTGGTCCGTTGGGAAGTCTTCCGGATGCCCCGGAGGAACGTTTGTTTCTCGTTCCGCTCGTTCTGCCGTTTAAGAGTGTTACGAAAAACTTACACCTAGAATTTGTTTTACTTTCAATAATAATAATAACAAACTGTATTTATATAGTATCTTTTAAAACATAGTTACAAAGTGCTGTACTATAGAACTAAACACATTTAAAACACAAGGAGAATAAAACAAATAGCATGTCATAAAATGTCACCAAAGTAAAAGATAGCTACAATAAAGAAGGCAAACACTAAAATCAAGATAACAAATGGAAATTAAATCACTAAGACCGCATAATAATGATGCTTTGAGATGAAAAATTCTTACAGAGTATTTGAAATAAAAGGCAGTTTGCAAATAAACTCCTAAAATAAAAAGGGGTGGTGGAAACTTTCTTACCTGACATGATTTCTGGGAGCTCTGGCAGAGAAATGGGGGAAATTTGAACATTTGTAATGTCTCTTGAAGACAGTAACAAGGCCACCACCTTGGTTGGCTAAAACTCGCCATATTTACTGTAACAGTCTGTGCAGGATTAAAACAGGTCTACAGGAAATGTGAATCAGGTTTGCAGGATTGGAAGACTTTATTGTGACCTGTTTATTTAACCTTGTCTAGACACTGGGGTTACTATGTTTAGGAAGGTTGGAGAGGGATCTTATATGTGTCTTACACACTTACAATATAAGGACACAGCTTCTTTATTGTTGTTAAATATACTGATAAAGAATTTCACGTAAGAATTCAGCCCTTGAGAGCAGTATAGCTGATGCTTTTAATGCGTTTGGTTTGCCTAGACCAGGGGTGTCAAACTCATTTTGGTTCATGGGCCACATACTGTACAGCCCAACTTGATCTCACCAGTAAAAACACTTCCAAATGTTCCCTTTCTTTTAGTGTAATGAAGTACCTAAGCCTGAGATGTCTTGGGAAAAATAAGTGCAATTTCAACAGTGTGTCTCAGTGTTTCCACATTCAGTCTACTACTCACTGTCTTTACATGTGCATATTTCTATATATTTCACTCCTGTGTAATAATGCTGGCATCACCACACCAAACTAAAGTGGAAGCTGTTGAGGAATCAGGTGAAGTTATCCCCTGCCTTACAAACTATTTCCAATAAGTTTTGACAGTGCCTTGGTGAGAGGGTTCCACCAATACTGTTTTAAGATAGAAATCTGATACAGAAGCTGCTAATTAATATTTTGCATATGTATAATATCTTAAAATATAACCAATAATAAGGATTCATTGTTTTTTAAAGAGCTGTATTGTGGTCTGGGTGAAAAAGCCTCTTTAGGAGCATTTAACATGAAGCAGGATACCCACCTTTTAACCTGCTCCTGAAACCTGACACATTGTAGACTTCATGAGTGCATCAATATGACATGTGCAAAGTCATTCAGTGGTTTGGCGGATCAGTTTTGGCCCACATGCCGAATGTTTGACACTCCTGGCCTTGATTATTCATCTTTTGGTGACATGTTAGTCAAAAGACTCCCGCAGAGCTTGTCAAGGTTTCACAGAAAATTGATCAATTGACCCTAAAATTACTTTCTTCTCAGAAAATCCTGCAGTAATTGTGCATTGAACTAACTCTGAACACAAGATGAGACTCGGGAGGCAGGATAAAGTTACTGCATCACAAAGCTGCATCCCTTTTTTTTCAAGCTCAAACCTCTGTTCTACAATGTTATGTCTTATTCATCAATCTCAAGACTAGTTGGCTTTTGCCTGACAGTTCTGACTGAATTCAAATGCACTTTTTCAGCATGGGATAATTAGGATCTCAGAAAACAGTTTGAGATGAGACCTGTTTAATCATAAAATATACAATTCTTTGACACAAACAAGACAAAAACTTCCAAATACAATATTGCATACTTTCACTGATAAAAGTATATAATGGAATAAAATAAGAGCATAAATATTGATATGTAGGAGATAGGGAAAGTAAAGAAACATGGAAGAGAAAACAATAAAACATTTGCACTGAGAATGATATTTCCTTTTTTCTATACAGCTCTTCAACATAACATTTAGAAACTATTACATGTTGTGATCATATTCCACTTTTTTGCTTCTATCATCTTCATCATTTCAAAGTATGTGTTTCGGCAGTCTTGACAGTGCTTCAGCTCTTCTGGTCCACAGAGTCTTTGGTGCTCTCTGCTCTCTGGTTCAGCAGCTTAAACATTTTTGTGGCCTTGAACTTTCCTTTTGACTTCTTTAGCTCTTTTAGTCCCTCTTTCTGGAACTCTGTGCAGAGATATTGCAGTTAAGTGCAGGAAAGAAACGGGTCATCATTTTCTAAAGTTTTCATAAGTGTGCACAAGTGTTTTATAGAGCGTGAATGTGTTTTAGAGAATCCAAGGATACATTGGATCTGTCTTCTTCACAAGCAGAGAGGAGAGTAAGGGATGGAAAACATGAAAATGCACAACAGTATAAAAATAGCAGTTTTTAAGGGGGACTTATTTATATATATTTTTTTCTCACCTTTGTTTTTCATCATAGCCTCCATAAGATCATCTTCCTCTCTTTCCCTGATCAGACAAACAAAGCTGCGTTATACTTTAACATAAAAAATACTTTGATGTGAGAGCACCATGTACTGTTTGTTTTTCTGCGCACCTCTGCCTGTCCTGATCCAAGCTGCTGACGATCTCGTTCCTCTGTTCGATGACGGCGACCAGCTCATCCATCAGCTGCTGCTCCTGAACTCGATCCTCCTGACTCCAGTCAGTCTCTGAATGTGAAGAAGACGGTGTTTAACATTTCACAAAACTTAACACCGAATCACATTCACCACATTAAGAGATGTTGCTCATTTATGTGTTACTCCTCCTGACACAAAGACAGTTAGAAATATGGTTATTTGTCTCCATCTGTCTGTTAAAGGGTAACTTCTGTTTTTTCCAACCTGGACCCTTTCCTAAATGGGACCAATATTGAGAGAGACTGCTGCAGCCGGCAGCAATGAAAGGCTGCAATAATCTGCAATTTAATCCCTGTGGACAAGTGAGCACCATATATTTACGTCCAATAAAAGTGCTTGTTTAGTGGATATACATTGAAGGTGCTCTATTACTGACAGGGATTACACTACAACCGGTTTTGCCGCTGCTGGCTGCAGCGTTCCTGCTCATTACTAGGCCAAAACATGTTGTTCCCATTTGTCACTTGCACACAAATACATAGGAGAATAGAGTTTGGGTTGGAAATATACCAAAGTGACCATTTAAGAGCCAGCCAGCATCAGAAAAGTGGTATGGTGAGGAGTGAAAGAAAAAATGTTGGGTCTTTTGATTATACAGGCCCCTTGTTTAAGGGTTAATGATCTCTAAATCGATTCCCCTGCTTATCAAATCAAACTTTACTTATATCGCACCTTTCATACAATCATGCAGCCCAAAGTGCGTCACAGAGCAGGAGAAAAACAGCACAGAAAAGTAACAAGTGAATGGCTAGACATTACAATAAAAAACAATAAAATATTTTAAATAAATAGCATTAAAAAAAACAAATAAACACAAGCAAAAACAAAAAGTACGATCACGTCAGGTACGATCTGAACCACCTTAGGACCAATCCTGAGAGACCAGCCAGTGTGGCCTCAGTACCGTGGTGAGCTCTGAAACCTTATTGTGATAAATAACTGACAGTATTGTCAAATATGTTTGCTAGAAAAAGTGACACGTGACGCACACAGTAACACACTGACCTGGTTTATTGAAGAGACATCTGAGCTCATACTCCACATCCGCCTGTCTCTCCTCTAACTGCTGCTGCTTTTTCCTGACAAAAGACACAAACACAAAATGTCTGTAAGATTCAAAACCCTCCATCGCAACTCTCACAGGAATCTTTTGGATGCAGAGAAAACTGTAGGTGTCCCGGCCTACTTACAGGTAAACCAGCTCTGTTTCTTTGCGCATCATAACATGTTTCTCATGGATGAGAGAGAACCACTCCATCAGCATCTGTTCCTCCTCTTTACCTAAAATTAAAAGGACAAGTCATTATATAAACATCATTATTACACAGTATTTATGCACACTGCATTCACATAAACAGTGGTTTTGTGCCAGTAAATAATGTTGTCTTGAATAAAAAGGAACACTTTGCTGAACCATTCTTGCTGTCTCTTAGATTCCCCTCCAGTTCGACTCCCCTTTGTTCCAGTGCCTTCAGATGTTTATCCAGCTCTCTGATCTCCACCTGCAGGTCTTCTGTGGACACATTCTGGTCTGTCTGCACCTGTCGAGCGACACATAAGGCTAAAACTTTCTGCAAACCAAGTGTTAGTTTACACCAGAGTTATTTATGTAATCCCTCATGACTGAATCTTGTGATGAGGGATAAACAAACACTACGTGTGTTTTAAAGGATCAGCTTAAAAGAATACTTCACCCCCTGAAAATGACCATTTATATATCAGTTACCTATCCCATGTTACGTTGAATTCAAGAAAACCATTTTCTTTGCATGCCTCGACTGTGAATGAAGAATCCAAAACGAACGAAGTCATAGGCGACAGCAAAACTATATCAACATCCTTTCACAAACTCCCACACAACTCCTGCAGTATAATCCAAGTCTCATTTATCCAGTCGTCTGCTGATTAATTTCCAGACAGACAGCCCTTTCTGACGGGAAGCTGAACAGGAAGTTAAACTACCCTAGGCTCTCTTCAAAGCCAGACTCCATTGACAAAAAGCGTAATTTTACCTTGCTGAACACTGGAGCTGCTGATCTACTGCTGCCTCGATCTGTTCTTTGTTTGTGTTAGCGTGTGACTTTGGTGACTCTAAAGTAACCCTTTAAAACACAAAACTTACACAACAACTCAAACAAACTAACTGATGGAGGCAGTGGTAGACCAGCAGCTCCTGTGTTCAGTAAAGTTAAAAGACTGTTTTTGTCAATGGAGTCTGACTTTGAAGAGAGAATAGGTAAGTTTCACTTCCTGTTCAGTCCCCTGTCAAAAAGGGCTGTCTGCTTGGGAAGTACTGAACATACAACTGGTTAAATGAGACTTTGATTATACTGCATGAGTTGTGTGTTTTGCCGTGTCAAATGCCGACCCCTATGTCTTCAGTTCATCAAGAATTTTGTCTGTTTTCAGATTCACGTTCACCGTGGAGGCATGTGAGAAAAGCAAAGTTTTCTTTACGAATTCAATCTAACCAGGGTGAGTAATTTTCTTGAGCTCTAAATACAGACATTGTACCTTCCTCTTGATGAGTGGGAAGCCATGTCCGGGGGCAGGGCCCCGTGTCGATGGGAGGACCTGACAGCTCTTTGATTTGAGCATCGCAGGTTTCCGATCAAAGGGATTCTCTCTGCAGGCCAGCTAGACATGGAGAGAAAATGAAGAGTTGTGGGGCAGTTTAAACCAAATATGATCCTCTTGCAGGAGAAAATGTTCACATTAGATTTGATTGTTATCAATATCTCTCTTCATACCTTACTTAGAGATGAAGTGACCTGACCATATTCATTTGCCTCCGTCAAGGGAGCAGATGTGATAGCAGGCACAGAAACACTCCTGGGTAAAATGTGGCTCTGTGGCTCTCTCTCTGTATCTGAAATGGCACACAGCCCTGCTGCTGCTGCTTCTTCTGTGACTAAAGTTGCACACAGCCCCGCTGCTGCTGCTTCTTCTTCTGTATCTACAGTGGCACACAGAATTGCTGCTGCTTCTTCTGTACCTGAAGTGGCACACAGCCCTGCTGCCTCTTCTGTATCTACAGTGGCACATAGCCCTGTTGCTGCTTCTTCTCCATCTGAAATGGCACACAGCCCTGCTGCTGCTGCTTCTTCTGTATCTACAGTGGCACACAGAATTGCTGCTGCTTCTTCTGTACCTGAAGTGGCACATGGCCCTGCTGCTGCTGCTGCTGCTTCTTCTGTATCTACAGTGGCACACAGAATTGCTGCTGCTTCTTCTCTATCTGAAATGGCACACAGCCCTGCTGCTACTTCCTCTGTATATACAGTGGCACACAGCCCTGCTGCCTCCTCTGTACCTAAAGTGGCACACAGCCCTGCTGCCTCCTCTGTACCTAAAGTGGCATGCAGCCCTGCCGCTGCTTCTGTATCTACAGTGGCACACAGCCCTGCTGCTGCTGCGTCTGTCACATCTGGGAGTGAACCTGCTTTGTTTTCAGTTTTATCCAAATCTGATACAACACAAGTTTCTTTAGCTGGTTCACTTGAAGCTCCAACAGTCTCTTCAGGTGTACATTCAATGGCAGCATATCCAGCACAAAGTACAGCAACTGTTTCCCCAATCCCTTCACTGACAGCTGCAGGTTCAGGTTCAGGTTCAGTGACCTTCTCCAGAGCCTCCTCATTCACCACCTCTGCAAATGGATTGGGAGGACGAACTCTGGGTCGAGGGCATGATCTTTGCTGCTTAGGAATAGATTTGTATCGAGGAATGAGTAGAGGGGATTCAATTGGAGGCAGTTGTGTCCAGGGTCCAGGATGGACGATGGATAACCAAGGATGGTTGGTTTGCACCCTGGGGCTATCCCTGGTTGGGCTGGTGCTGCAAGAGGAAAGACAAGACGTGTTTTAAGACATGACTCCACAAGTGAGGAAGAACTTCTGGGGAAATCAGTGCTTATTATCATTATGGTAAATACAAAAACTCCTTTTATGTGATGCTTAAGATTTTACGAAGATTTAGATTTTATGTTATTTGCCACAACTTTATCTTTAAATTTTTTCTCATAATTTGTTTTCCCTTTTACAAGATTAAAATCTTAATATAACTGCGCTAATTATTGGCAGTACTTAAAGCAATAGTTCACCCTGCAAATTACCATTTGTTTATCGATACTCATCCGTGTTGCCTTGAATTTGTGAAGAAAACTTTGGTTTTCTCACACGCCTCTGCGGTGAATGAAGAATCAAGAGACTGAGAGTTCAAGTTTAACAACAAAACTGTATCAAAACATCTGTTTAGAAACTCTCACACCTTGTGCAGTATAACCCAAGTCTCATTTATCCAGACGTATGCTCAGTACTTCCTAACCCATGCATTTTTTTCCTAAAACTTCAGTATTTAAAACTGAACGGAAAGTCAAACTTCTATGCTCTCTTCAGAGCAAGACTCCACTGACAAAAACAGTAATTTTACCTCACTGAACATGGGAGCTGCTGATCCACCACTGCCTCAATCAGTTAGTTTGTTTGTGTTATTGCGTGACATTGGTAAATATGAGCCAACTCTTTGAAACACATAAGTCACACAATAACACACCAAAAACTAACTGATGGAGAAAGTGGTAGACCAGCAGCTCCTGTGTTCAGTGAGGTAAAATTACTGTTTTTTTCAATGGAGTCTGGCTTTGAACAGAGCATAGAAAAGTACTGAGAGTATGAATCGATAAATGAGACTTTGATTATACTGCATGAGTTGTGTGAGAGTTTGTTTTGATGTGGTTTTGCTGTTGTCGAACGTTGACACCTATGACTTCAAATCATCAAGAATTTTCTCCATTGCTGGATTTTTCATTCATCGTGGAGGAATGTGAGAAACATAGGGTGAGTAACTGATATATAAATGCTCATTAGGGGTTTGAAGTGTTCCTTTAATCAATTTGTAGCTGTAAATTCCAAAGGTACACTGAGATGTTTAAAAATATAACACGATCAAGAGGAATACAGACTCTTTATGTTCACTCACACACGAGATGAGACGGGTGAACATCTATCTTGGCTGGGTGGCCAACCTGCACAGAGAAAAAATTGTTTCATCTTTCCCACTCAGTCATGAAACAGAGCAGCACATAAACATACTAAGTAAACTCCTATAGTGTCTATTTACCTGCAGAGCGGGAGCTGTACATGGGCTGGGTCGTTTTGTTCCTGGGTGCAGGAACAGGGGCTACAGAAGAGTCCAACAGTCGCCTGGGCGTTGGAACCGGCTGACTCCTTCCTTCTGTCGCTCGTTCACACTGTGAAGAGAGCTCAGATGTCTCTTGAGTCTTTGCCCCTTCCTGTTGTGACTTGCTGTCTGTCGGAATGGGTGCCGATCCAGCTTTTCCAGGAAGACGAGGACGCGCTGGCTTCTTCGATCCAACAGGTGAGTCTCTGTTTCCTTCCTCTTTCACCTCTTTGATCCTCTCTTGCCTTTCTTTCCCCTCTGTCTCTATTGTTTTACAAACCAGTCTATCCTGTGACTCTGTTTTCTTAGTGTAATGAGGGACGCTGCTAATAGCCGATCCACCCAGAGAAAAATAACCTGACTGATAATCACGTTTGGGTCGACTCTCGGCAGATCTGACTGGCTGGCTGAGGTCAACGCAGGTACTTTCACTGTCTGTTAAGTGGTGAGTGCAGATCAAGGAGCCAGCATCACTTCCCTGTGCGTAAGAGCCTGGTAGCAGAGTGCTGCAGCATACTTTGCACCTACAAAACAAAGGTGAAATGAGTTGCTGTGAAAGCATCCTTAAGACATTAACAGAAAAAAAGTTAATCCTATAATTTACCTGCACTGATGTCTAAATAACTCACAAGTGTTAGAAACCAAATGCACTGAAGGAAATCCTTTAACAATTTGAAACAAACAAACCCAGCTCTCCTCTCCTGCTGCTTCAGCTATCGTAGTGAGTAATGGTGATCACAGAGGTCACTTGAAACACATTTGAAACACAGTCTTATGTGTGAACTGTAGCTTGTCTCAAGACGTACACAGTCTAGATGAACCTGAATCTAAACACTGACAAAGCGATAAAAAAGCTGCTGTTACCTTGTGAACTGTGCTGTTACCTGAAACAGCTGCGATGGTAGACCTTCCCGTCAATCAGATGTCTCTGGATCAGGTGAACAGGCCTAAAACACAAACTACACACTGTCTTTGGCCTCGCGTTGGACAAACGATCTTCTCTACTGGTTTCCAGATGAGTCAGACTCTGAACAGAGAAGAGAAACCAGTGACTAAGACTGATAACCCTCCAGCAGAGATGACAGGAGCATGAGAAAACACTGGGATTATATGTACGTTAAAATTACCTTCAGGGGTTTGAGACTATCCGGACTTTTAGTCTTTGTGAGGTTGTTTAGAAAAGCGACATGTGATGACTTCAAACTGGCGAGACCGGCTGCAAAGTCAAGAAAAAACATGCAAAAGGAGCAAAGTTTGGTAAACAATAAGATGAAGATAAACATGTACTTTGTTGTTTTGAGAACTGGAGGGGTGTCGGCTGTCTGAATGTGTTATTCCCATGATGTGAGTCGATGATGAGTAAAAGACTGGTAATAAAGCAGTCACTACTTCACCCAAAAACTTCACCCCAAAATCAAAATACATGCTTTTCCTCTTACCTGTAGTGCTATTTATCAGTGTAGATTGTTTAGGTGTGAGTTGCAGAGTGCTGGAGATATCAGCTGTAGAGATGTCTGCCTTAACTAGAGGGCAGACTCTAGGAAAAACATACTTTTGATTCTGGGGTGAGCTCTCCCTTTAAAAGCTAATTCATGGAGAGGCATGAATGTGTGTACCTTACGGAGCCCAAACATCACAAATTCCTAAGAACCTGTTAGTATCCTTAAATAATCATGTGCCTTGGTAAAGTGCTTAGTAAAGACAATAAACCCCCACTTGCTACAAAAACAGAAAAGGCTTTACCTAGTACACCATAAGACTTCCTGTTGAAGTAGTAGTAGTACTGGGAAAGGTAGGTGATGACGCTCAAGCAATCAGGCACCTTGGTGGACACCATGTCCTTTGGGTCCAGCAGCGGTGGGATGCCCAGCTCCCTCGCTGCAGTATCAAATGCCTTCAGGAAACCAGGGAAGATAAACAGAGAATGTTGATGATTGTAGGAAGGTACTTACATGAATAAAAATTACCACATTTTTTTTTTTATTTTACAGCGTTAGTAATGGTCAATAACACCAAACACAGAGTTGAGAGAAACATGCTCGATGGGAACGACTCACCAGTTTGTTATTCTGATAAACATTATCTTTGGACAAGGAGCTGAAATCTCTGGATCAAGGTGAGGAAACAGAGAGATTGGGATTAAGTGATGATGAAAAGACTAAATCACAAATAGGGTTGCAACGGTATGAGATTTTCGCGGTACGATAACCGTCTCTGAAAATATTGTGGTTTCATCAGTCAGAATGACCCTTACAGGAATTAAAATGGAAAGGTTATTTTTGGTTAAACAAATGTTTTATTACTATTTCCTCCTGAGACCTGCACTTGTGTTTGGTATGCATTTTTAATTTCTCCGAGCTATCTGGGATCAGTAGGACCCGATAAGTATAAAACACTAAGCATTGTCAATGATAATAAAGTTCTAGTGTCCTCAAACGAGACAATAATAAAGTCCCAATGTCCTCAAACAGGACTTAAGTCCCAATGTCCTCAAATGAGATGACCACAAAGTCCCAATGTCCTCAAACAAGACTTAAGTCCCAATATCTTAAAACGGGACAACAATAAAGTCCCAATGTCCTCAAACGAGACGATAATAAAGTCTTAACAGTTAAGTCCCAGTGTCCTCAGATGAGACAAGCATGAAGTCCCAATATCCTCAAACGGGACAACAGTTAAGTCCCAGTGTCCTCAAATGAGACGATAATAAAGTCCCAATATCCTCAAATGGGACAACAGTTAAGTCCCAATGTCCTCAAATGAGACAACCAAAAGTCCTACTGTCCTCAAACAAGACAATAATAAAGTCCCAATGTCCGGAAATGGGACAACAATAAAGTCCTCAAACAGGTCTAAAGTCCCAATATCCTCAAATGAGACTATCAGAAAGTCCTAATGTCCTCAAATGAGATGATAATAAAGTCCCATTGTTCTTAAAGGAGATAATTGAGTCCCAGTGTCCTCAAATGAGACAACTATAAAGTCCTAGGGTCCTCAAATGAGACGATACTAAAGCCCCAATGTCTTCAAACAAGTACTCCCTAATTATCAGCATCTTGTCTTGTTCCTGTTGCTAAAATTGGTCAAATTTGTTGCCATATCAAATGACAAACATTCATTCATTCATTTTCTAACCGCTTCATCCTCTTGAGGGTCGCGGGGGGGCTGGAGCCTATCCCAGCTGACATCGGGCGAGAGGCAGGGTACACCCTGGACAGGTCACCAGACTATCACAGGGCTGACACAAAGAGACAAACAACCACTCACGCTCACATTCACACCTACGGACAATTTAGAGTTATCAATTAACCTGCATGTCTTTGGACTGTGGGAGGAAGCTGGAGTGCCCGGAGAGAACCCATGCTGACATGGGGAGAACATGCAAACTCCACACAGAAGGGCTCCCACATCCAGGATTGAACCGGCAACCCTCTTGCTGTGAGGCAACAGTGCCAACCACCACACCACCGTGCCGCCATGACAAACATTATTAATCATAAATAAACAAGTCTCAACAATAAAATGTGATCAGGTTTTGGACCTTGTCCACTTTTGTGTTGGGATCAGCTGCAGACTGACTTGGCAGAGATGGCTGCCATTTTGTTTTTACATGGATTAGTGTATTGTGCTCTTACTGCCACTAGATGGCACAAAAAGTGTCCATGAATGAGGACAACAGGTCTAAGTTAAGTGGAATGAAGTATAAAGTCGAATGTTTTGTCCTCATGAGGACACAGGGTCTCAGGAGGATATTTGAGACCAAAAGTTGAGATATAAAGTTTCAGTATCACGGTATGAAACCGGCATACCATTGCAACCCTAATCACAAACAAACAAAACTGCTGACTATTGGTGAATGATGGAGACTCCGCAGACATAAAATGCACACCAAGATCAGATTAAATTAGATCACTCTAGTTCAATCATTGTTTGTAAAAGGCAAAACAAACCAACTAATCCCATTAAACTGGACAAGAAAAGGTTTAGCAGAGAGACAGAGAGAGATTAAGCAGAGGAGAGCAGATTAGTCCTGGGCACAGTGTGCAGGTCCTGCTCTGCTCCAGATTAGACAGCACATTAGTCAATCTGGTGCAGCACCAGTAGGAAGACAAATAAATCAGGACAGGACTGGAGAGACAGACAAGGACAAACAATGTGTTTACAATGAGTCCTATTCATGCAGAACACCTGCAGGAAATAATGCACCTCACTGTATTTATCCACCTCACTGAGCACGAGTTTGCACATCCAGTAAAGCTCTATGAAACCACTGGTCTACTTACATCAGGTCAGGTCGGTGTTTGTGGATGATGGCACAAAATGCAAGTCCATCCCTGAAGGAGGTTGACATGTTCTTTATCTCCACGTTGGGGTAATTGGCGCATGTGACGCGGCACCACTCCAGCACAGTCTTCGGAGATGCCATATCTTGTGTGAGATTTGAGATGTGGACTGGCTGAACATGGCACTTAATTCACTTTGAGAATTAGCCTAAAGGAGATCAAATAAAGCTGGGCAGGTTTTGCTTTGAGGAGGAAACAGGAAACGAGCACCTACCACCAATGCAACTACTTTTTTTCTCAGAAACCTGCGGCCAGACTCGTGCATTGTCGATTGGGTGAAACAGCAGGAAGGAAGTTGTATTTCTCCCTGTGAGGTTGCTCTGCCAAATAATAACCAAGGTGCCCGCGCGTGTAAAGCGACTTCACATTGCTCCAGTGTTCCCAGCCACAACATAAGTGTCAATGGTTTCCCTCACTTACTACACAATGACACTTCCCAGCACAAACCAGCAAAGAGCTTCTGAATGAGGCGACGTGTCGTCAAACACAGACATCTACAGAGATCCGATGGCTTATGATCGATTTAATATAATGGGTGTAAACTTTAAATCAAATCCCGTTACTTGCTGTGCAGTCCATGTTATGGTGGTTGTGCTCCATATTCAGTGAAGTGCACAATAGCTGCCACTGGAGGGCGACACGGAGCTGCTGCTCCTCTATAATTAAGGAGATGTTTTGGTTACAAGTGAATTTTTCCTCTTTTGTCTCTTAACTGTATGACAGCTAGATATAATATATGGATTTTATTTAATAATCAAAACTTAGGTTCATTACAGGCCATTTCCGCATGCTTCCTCTCAGTTTTTGCCTTTTTTTTAAAAAAAAAAAAAAAAAAAGGAAGATTTTGTCGGTCATAAAGTTTAAAACAGTACTTCCGGTTAAACAGTTTAAACTGTTACGTCAGATTTTCTCACGTAAAAATATAACTTTTTGTGAGCATATTAAGTTGTTGTTTTGTGATGTGAAGATTTTGTTAGTCGTAAAGTTTAAAACAGTACTTCCGGTAACGTCCGGTAAAATAATTTAAATAAAACTACAGCAGCATCAACTTTTCGAGTCTTAAAACAAAAAAAAACCCTAAGCGACGAATCTTAACAAGTTTAAGAATAATAATAAAGTAAACGTACCTTGTTTCAAATTTAATTTTATCAATAGATAAATGTTGGTGGCCGCACAAACCAAATGGACTGCTTTTATTTTGAAAGGAGTTTTACTCCGGTATGTTTCTGGTTTCTCGCTTGACGCAGCTCTATGATAATAGATATTAAGTTGCTAGAATGGTTATTCCCATTTAAGTTTTTATTTAATTTATTTTATTTTTGAACATACACAAAATGACAAAATAGCAAATTGTATTCAGTGATGAAGCCCGCTTCAGAGGCAGCAAACTGAGTGCCTCCACCTAAAAAAAAAAAAAGTTAACATTTTCCAAGGCTATAAAGAACACAAAAATTAACATACAGAAAATGTTATGACAACATAAATGTTATCTATTGGTTAATCTATTAGTTGTTTGTTTGTATTTAATTTTTGTTTTGTAGTTTCCTGTTTTTTGGTTGTATTTTGTTTCTTTTTGCCTTGGATTTTTAATTATATATTTGTTTTACTCCGTGAAATAATTTTTGCTTGAGTGGACCCCAGAAATAGTGGTTGCTACCTTGGCAGTGACTAACTGGGATTCAAATGAATAAGAAAAATAAAAACAAATATATGTCACAACAACAACAGTGTCAGATGTGTATGAAATATGTATGTACATTTGAGTATGTGTGTCTTTGTGCATCTTTGTGTGCATGAATGAGTGTGTGCAGGTCCGTTTATCATTTATAATTATCTGTAGCTATTTGGTCATGGACATTGGCTTTGATTTGGCATATGATACATAAAATTATTAGGGTAAATATGACAACTCTGTGAAAGATTTTAGTTTAAAAGACAACTTTTTTTTATTACATTAATAATAATTAATATCAGTTAATGCACAGCAAAATTGTTCTTAGCTTCAATTAACATGTGCATGTTAGAAACAATTACAGGGAACTGTTTACATACTGTAGCTTGATATTATATAGATTAATGTTTTTCATTTTCAGATGTCTCTTCTATTCACTCTTGTTTAAAAAAATATTCTTTATTTCACATTTCCTTGTGAGCATAGAGACAATAGTATGAGGGAACACAAGGAACAACAAAGAGACAGACGGACAATGCCTGGGGTTACAAACAAATTCTGATGCAGATAAATGAAAGATATGCAATGAAATTATAATAACATTATAACAGAACTGTAAACTTAGTGCACAAATTAGGGGTTTTCACAGCTTTTGTATTGGTTGAGGCATATAAAGTCCTGATGTAGGCTTCTGCTTCATTTTCAAAAGCACAGAAAGAGGGGTTGATTTTTAATACCTTATATTTATGGATATAAAACTTGGCCAGCTTAAAAGAAATCTCTTTAACTTTGTTAACAAGTAGATATCTACTAGGAAGAGACAGTTTATTCCAGGTTGCTGTTACATACGGGACTCTTCTATGCGCTCTAGTTCTATGTCTCTACTGCTTCTACGTGTCCGTGCGTCCCTCGCGAGACCGAAGCCCCACATAAATCTCGCAGTGATGGCTGCACCGCCCGATACGGAGAGTTTGGAGTCTCGTATCAGTGAGTATTTTAAACTTATTTAACCGAGCAGGTGTTGCCTAGAGACCCGGGCACCTTCTAATTATCACCTGTGAGCTGTTGTGGATGAGATGACAGCTCACCACAGCCGCTCGTGCCCCAGCAGAGGGGACTCGGACCCTGCCGCCACATCCAGGATGCTAACCTAGCTCCGGAGCTGCTGCTGCTGCCAGCTGTCAACACACAACACAGCCAGGCGTAGCGTTAGGTTTGCGGCTCCATAGCTCAGCTAGGAGGCGGTTGACAAGACCGTGGGGACCCCGTTTATAGTCACAGAGGTTACAGTGTGATTACGGCAAAGCTATGGCCTCGGAGGAAAGTTCTAGACGAAGCAGTGTGACACAGTGCGACTACCGACAGCTAGCTAGCTAGCGTGACACTGTGTTAGCACCTGCCCTGTGTATCCCTGTGCACGGTGGCATGCTGGGGTTATGTGGCAGAGACTTAATGAATTTTAAATCATGGAGGCACTCAGGCAGGCCGGAGGCCTTCTTGGGTGCTCAGCTAAAGTTTTTATGCATGTTAAACATTTAATGTAACATCTGTATAAGGTGAAGATATTCTGGGTATGAATGTTGATGCTCTCATTCATTAACGTAAAAATAAACGTTAACATATTCTGAGTTGCCAGTTTAGCCACTGCTAGCTGACGTAACACAGACTATAATACAAAATATAGTACACAAATGTAGTAAACCCTGATCCTACCTTCATGATGGTTATGTTTTTATTCAAAAGCACATGCCCCGTGCACAGCACTGTCAGTCCTCATAGCATGGTGCAGGTGATGGCAGGAAACACCAGACTGATAGTAAACAAGTAAATGCCCTGCACACAAAAGGGCTGAATTGCTTCTTCTTTTAATTTGATCTTCATTTGAAATGCTGCAAACACTGCATTTCGCCCATGGCTTTATACAACAAAATACACAGGTGTTTTTAACATGGCTGCAGCTGCACTGAATCACATCAGCAGCAAGGTGAATAATTGGCTGAGTAGACTTCATATATGGTCACATCTACATGCGTATCATTTGAGAATATCGCAAGTCATATAAACAGTTAGACATAGCTCATGACACACTGCTATTATTTGCTTAAATCACTGAACTCGACAGGCTTAAATTTGAGACAGGCCTTTGATTCCTTTCACATAACACTGTTGCTCAGCAAAAATCAAATCAAGTTTATAAAAACAGCCGCAGTTGACCAAAGTGCACTAGAAATTGAAAGAGTGACACAGGAATATATCCTCCTGAGACCCTGTGCCCTCATGAGGACACAGAGTCATAACATTTTGGGTTTACTCGACCTTATACTCGATTCTATAACTTGGACCTGTTGTCCTCATTTGTGGACACTTTTTTTTGTGTCATCTAGTGGCAGTAAGAGCTCAATACAGTAATCCATGTAAAAACAAGATGGCAGCCATGTCTGCCAAGTCAGTCTGCAGCTGATCCCAAAACAAAAGTGGACAAGGTCCAAAACCTGATCACATTTTATGGTTGAAACTTGTTTACTTATGATTAATAATGTTTGTAGTTTGATATGGCAACACATTTGACCGATTTTAGCAACAGGAACAAGTACTCATTTGAAGACATTGGGACTTTATTATCGTTGACAGTGTTTTAGTTTTTTATACTTATTGGGTCCTACCAATCACACATTAATTAAAAATGCATACCAAACAAAAGTTCAGGTCTCAGAACATGTACACAAATATAAAACAGAATAACACTGGCAAGAGCAATTACACACATAAAAAGATGATAAAATACTAAAATATTAAAACCACTACAAACAATCAAAGGCCGTTGAAAACCTGTATGTCTTAAGCTTTGTCTTATAAGTGTCACTGGAGGGGAGCATTTGATTGAGAGTGAAAAGCTGTTCCAGAGCTTTGGAGCAGCTACCACAACAATCTCCTTTACCCACCAGCCTCGATCGTGGGGCGGTAAAAGGACATTGTTCTGAGGATCTAAGAAGTCGGGAGTTGGAGTAGGGGCAGAGAAGTTCAGCAAGATGGGAAATAGGATCAAACTGTTTATTTGAACCAGTATGATTATTACTTGTATACAAATTAGGCTGCCAGTAACATATTAATGATGTGTTATAACACTCGTTTCACGCACCCGACACAACACCACTTTACAAAATACCTGTCAAGATAAAGATATATTGTGAAACAAGTTCACAAGAACAACCATCAGTTCACTTAAATAGAATCCAAGAGCACAAAATCCCTACATACAGAGGGGGAGGAGGGGAAATAAGGAGGGAGCATCCTGCCTTTTATCTCCCTCACTCAGGTACAATCACCTGAAGTCAGCAAAAACATGCAGATCTGCAATTATGACCAGAAAGAGCTTAAATCTAGTGTCTCGTTGAGGCCGTCCAAAATCCATTATGCCTTCCTTTGCAGCAACTTTTGGACCAGGTTTCCTCCCCTTGGGCTGGGGGGAATCATCTATATACTAGTAAATTTCAGAGAGGCAGCAGGGAAATGTGTTATAGTTTCATAGATTAAATTAAGAAGCAGCCCTCGTGTGCCGTGCGTCTACTTATTTGTTAGGTTTTTGCTGTGATTCTATTGCACTGTAGTGAAGTGTTTCAAATATTTTGTTACCCTCAATGATTCAGAAAAGGCTGCACAAGATAGGTGTGCCTAATAAAGTGGCAGCTGGGTGTAGAAACTGAACACTACTAATTTCACACAGGTGAAAAAGTTAAGTAAGTCCAGAAAGATAAATGCTTTCATGGTAATTCAATCTTTACCACTAGGACAGTGTGTTATTTAATATCACAACAGTTACTGTGATGAAAACCTCAGTCAGCTGTAATCTAATCTCAGAACAACAATTGTGATGTAATGGAGTCAGTAACATCTTTCACCGCTGTTGTCTGACATCTCGTTTACTGACATTTCAGACAGAGCCACAAACCCACTCAACAGAGACACAGACTGGAGCAGCATCCATGCCTTCTGTGACCAGCTCAACAATGATTTGGAGGGGTAAGAGGAGGCCATGCTTCATACCTTAATTATGGTCTGGTTAATGCAGATCCAAGGGTATAAATCCTGGAGACCCCAGCTGTGATATTGGACATGTTTTCTAAGTTTTCTCAGTTGAAATTAAAATCATTCAAATCTTTCATCTTTGTTAACTTAGCTGAACTTTAATGCTAATTAACACGTATTTAATTTGCAACCTGCATGTTAAAACAGTAGACCTTTAGGGCTACTACAGGTCTTACTTAACTCTGCACACTAGGCATGTAAAGACAATTCATTCATTCTTTGTAACTGCTTATCCTGTAAGGGAGGCAGGGTTCACCCTGGACATGTCGCCAGACTATCACAGGGCTGACACATAGAGACAGACAACCATTCACACTCACACCTACGGACAATTTAGAGTCACCAGTTACCTGCATGTCTTTGGACTGTGGGAGGAAGCTGGAGCACCTGGAGAAAACTCACGCTGACACAGGGAGAACATGCAAACTCCACACAGAGGGGTTCGAAACAGGAACTCTCTTGCTGTGGTTATACAATGCTAACCACTGCACCACCATGCTACCTGTAAAGATAATAATTATAAAAAACACACACACCAAAGCCACAGTTTCTTTGTAGGTGAGGAAAATTACATTACAAGTTTCCTGTTTGGTGTTCATCATGTTGGGATTTTCAGCAGTCACTCTCAATTGTTTTAAAAGTTATTATGTGGTTGATATCAGTGTTAACGTTGACATTTAAACACTGAAAACACTTTTAAAAATCCCACAATATAATTACAGTAATAAGGGAAACAATAGGAATGGATATCTTGCTCAGCACTAATTGCAGCACACTTTACAACACTTGCACTTGCTCACTTGCTGTGGGCACAGCTCTGGACATTGAGTATTGTTTATGACTTGTGTTGCAGACCTCAGCTGGCCACCAGACTCCTGGCTCATAAGATCCAGTCTCCACAAGAGTGGGAGGCCATGCAGGCCCTGCTGGTAAGTTAAGATCTGAGCCAAGATCTGTCATAATTACCCTCCTCAGTAGTAACTGTTACACTGGGTTTTAAAGCATTCTTTCGTGTCTCAGTTTTTCTATTCTTAGGGAGCTTTCAGACCTAGAGTCATCTCCTTTGGTCCAAATCAGGGAATAATTTTGTTCCAAAGTTGTATAATTGCCTAGAGTTGGTTCGTGTTCTCATGGCAGCATTTACAAGCGGACCAGATCAAATGCCTTGTGTGGGAAAGCTGCTCTTGATTGGTCAGAATTTCCATGTGGGAAAAATCCAGGAAGTAAAGCAAACGTTGAAGAAGAGTACACTTGCAAGATAAATGTGACACTTTCTAATGTCACAATGGAGGAACAACTACGCAGGTTGATTTTAGCGCTGCTCATCGTGGACTATATTGCTGTCATTGTTCATTTTAGTCAAACCATACAGTTTGAAAACGAGGCGCGGCTCCAACTAGAAAACAATGTTTTGATGCATTGGATGTGCTGAATGTGCATATTAAGGCAGTACAGGAGGAGGTGCACATTAATAATCCTCCAGGACTGTAACGTGCTCATGTTTAACCCAAACAATGTGTCATGTGACTGCAGTTGGTTCAGATCCAGGTCGGAACACATTCTCACCGCAAGCAAACAGCATGTTTGTCGTTTGTAACTGGACCGAGACCACCTCGTCAAGAAGGTCTTGGTCTTCATTTATTCATTTATTTATTTCCTTTTGACCCCTCCCTGGGGTATAAGGGACAAACAAAAATAGCATTAACAAATCAAAGCAGGCGGCAACCAATGTACAACAAAATAAATAACAGAATTAGTGTACATACATAAGTCTTTGAAGAGAAGAAAAACAAATCAAGAGAAACTACTCAGGATTTTCTTTAAAAGTTTCAACAAATTTGACAAAACCTTTACTTTGAGACGACATTAACTTTTGAAACTTGTAAATATTTGGATTTACTCTATAGAACTGTCCGACAAACTCTGGTTGTTTTGGTGCGCACCTGAGTGTGATTGCTGTGTTCACACCTGCCCAAACGAACCACACTGAGGGGGCAAACAAACTTGCGTTCGATTGAAGTGAACCAAACAGGACAGGTGTGAAAGCACCCTCAGACTCTTGTGATTTTTTTACCTCGCTTTTTAGATAGAGACTAAAGATAACTTTTGGCAGATTTCATCTACACATTTTCTAGGGGCTCCCAGAAATCCATAAGCATCAAACCCTTAATCAGACAAGTGTAGTAGAGCATTGGTTCCCAAGTGGTGGGTCGTGGTCCAAAAGTGGGCCCCAGGTCCATTTTGAATGAGCCACAAGTGACTCAAGAATGTGTGAAGTTTGTAAAAAACACATTTTACTTTGGAGTATAGTGGATTCCCAGCACAGAGCTTTTTTTCAGCATTTCCTGCTGTAGACTTAGTAGCTTTCTGACAGCTACTCAACAGAGACAGCAAACTAGCTCGACAGCATGGCCAAATGCAAGTGTGACGCTGAATAGATTAAACTGTTTGGACTTGGAACTAATGACTAAGAATACATCTGGACACTGTGGCTAGTCCAGTTGGGAACCACTGCAGTAGAGGATGTTAGATTTTTAAATGAATCTGTGTTCCCACTTACGTTCTCAACAATATATAGTAACGCAACAGAAACTGACCTAAATTTACCTCGACTGTTTGTCTAAATATGTAATAAATAGTTAGAAGAAGCATACTTTTTAGAGCATGGTGTTCAGTTTCTGTTTCATTTTTACTTGTATTTATTCTCTAGGTCCTGGAGACGTGTATGAAAAGCTGTGGAAAAA